ACTGTCCATATTTTAAAATTGTATTATAGAATAATATAATTGTTCATTTTATTTTCATCTATTTTGATTTTTAGGTAATTTATTATTTATTTTAAATATACTATATTTGTGACTTTAAGTGTGTGTGCAATTAATATAATGCTAAACAAAAATTAAATGTTTAAATAAAAAAAATTTCATAATACATCAAATTATTATGAAGTTATGTTAATGACATACTCACACTTAATCTACAAATAATAGTACGTACATAAGACAGTCATGGACAGTTCTGTCTTTAGATATATGTAATATTTTATTTTCCCGTTAAACAAACATATAAACAATTATTTATTACACTCCCAAATAGTTTTTGTCACAATCTCATGACTCTGTCTATGAATAAACTTACAAAGAAACACAATCAAATGTTCTCCTTCGATTTTAAAAAGTTTTAGATATATTAAAATATAGATAAAGATATATTATATGTATTTTTATAAGCTCAATCATATATTAAGGAGATGTTCTCTCTTAAAAAAAGATCGATTTCTTTCTTTTTACATGGATCCATCTAAACCAAAGATATAAAAAAAGTTTTAATTAAAAGTTGAATTGTTTGTGTACTTTATTATAATAATAATAAATATTTTTTGTTTTTTATCAAATAAATAAAAATGTTTTTTTTTTATTAAAAAATTATCTTATTTATAAAAAGTTTAGTACTATAGTTTTCTTTTTTTAATCATTCAACTTTTATATCTTTAACTTTACTGTTTAGATAATATTCACTCAGAAAGAAAGAAATCAATTTTTTTCATGAGAAGATTTCCCTTAATGTATGATTGAGGACTTAAAAAAATACGTGTCTTTTTGTGTATGTTTTATCCAAAGCTTATTAAAGTCAAAGAGAGAGAGAGAGACACACATTTGGTTGTATTTCCTTAGTAAAATTTGAACCTTACATTATTAAATCAACATAAACAATACTTATTTAATGAATTATTAAAGTAAAAATATGTGTACATAGACATAAGCCAGAAAATGATCATGAGATAAAGTTCGTTAGCGTTGTCTTCAATATAAAATATATTCGTAAAATAAAAAAAAATATCTACGGGAGGTATATGTTATTGATATCGATGTAACAATTCACACTTTATATAACTTGGGGGGTCCAGTAAATATCCAAGTCCAAGTTCAAAAATAATCACAGTGCAAATTGTGAAATATCTCTGTTCGTTACACGACAGCGACTATGCGCACAAGCTACTTTAAACACTGTGAATCTCTGTTTTAATTGCGATGTGTCAAATGGAAAATCCTTCATTTATCATCGCATTCCTAACGAGTATATGGTCACTTGGATCGATTATAACGTCCTCTCATTTGCCGTCGCGATTGTGTGATATTTGAAGTCGTAAGTAGATTTTCCTCGAACGTGTCAATAGTGAAGTCCTGTTCCTTATGCACTTCAGGCAAGGTTCTGTTGTTGACTGGACCATTTCGTCTCATACGAATGTTTACCGAGCGCCCCATGATTCCATTTCGAATTTGCTGCTTCTTCTGTGTTTGGAGTTGTTTGGATCTGGAAGGTGGAGGCATCTTCGGTGGTGGTGGTGGCATCTTTGGTGGCGGTAATCGCGCAGTTGGACCGACTGGTAATCTCGGTGGAGCTGACATTCTCGGTGGACCTGACATACGCGGTGGAAAAGCGGGACGCGGAAAACCAGGTACGGGCGGCGTTGGCATCGCCTGGACCGGGTGTATTGGTGGTGGTCCATATCTGAACGGCCTAGGGCCGTAGAGTGGTGGACTCATTAGCGGAATAGGTGGCATACCAGACGGAGGTGGCATTGGACCGAATCCTGGTGGAGGTCCCGCGATACCTCTGCCGAATCTCTGAGACGAAAATGGTCTGCCATTTGCAAAACCTCGTCGCGGTATCGCGAATATCGGCGGCCCCATCGGTCGGCCTGATAGGTTTTTCAATAAGTGTTTCGGATTCTTCCTAGTTGAAGCTGCGACACTGATAGGATCTGGCGTCAATACAACTTTACTTGTGTCGATCTTCTCACCGCGTTGGACCTCCTGTAACGCGGTGAGATAAATGTCGCGTTCGACGGGATATCCACGTGCTTCTCCGAAAGCTGGATACAGACAGAGGAAGATCTCGTTTGGACGATAAGCTTTATCAATAGAGTGCAAAGTATAATCTCATCTGTCATCGTTAACTAACCTGTCTCAGATTGATTGTATGTATAACGAAATAAATATTGATTTATGTTTTGCCTGGCGTGCAGAAAAAAAAACGATCTGACCTATGATCATGGCCTACTATGTATCTACACTACAATTTTGACAGAATATAAAATTGTTTATAATCCACGAATAATTATTTCCCCATCTATTAATAATAATTCCAAATTAACAATTACTTGTAGCCGAAAAAATATATATAAAATATATATAAAATTATTAATTAATTCCCTCATTAATTACATCTAATAAAAATAAAATAATTAACAAGAGAGGCCAAGACTTTGCTATACTCTGTTCAACGAGAGAATGACCTCGGTTTGCGCATAGCAGGTAATATAATGCTATACAACGCTATGAAGACTTGCACAAAACGGACAAGTTTTCGCCCGATCTGAAATAATTCTTTCGTTGAATGGAGTATATATACAATGTTTTAAAATAACGTACCTTTTAAGGAATCTTGATTATCCCAACCTAGCTGCTGAATGAGATATCTATAACAAAGTAGCGCCGTAATCGTTTCAAGGAATGCGTTCTGAAATGTACTAAACTAAGTAACTAAAATCTATACTTTAAATTGAGTTTTAATTACTGTTAGTTTCGAAACGCACCCTAAGTTTCTATTAATCTTACGAATATTTGATATTAAAATAATAAATAATTGATAAATATAAATTACCAGTCTCTTAATACACTATTAGTTACATAAGACTAAACAAGTATTTATTCAAATACAAATTAAGCAAATATTTGATGAATTCAGATATCCGAAAAATTCGAATATCTAAAATCTAACAGCAATAATAATCTAATATCTAAAAAACGGTAATGAAAGCATTTAATTAAAGGCAGTATAAAATTATTTAATACTGACCTACAAATTAAATAACCAGTACGATTCACACCGTGCGTGCAATGGACTCCTATAAGTTCATCTGTAACATGAAATTTGTATATCTCGCAATATATAATCTAGTAGTACAAGTTTTTAAGTAGAACGCGAAAGATACTTTATGCACCGGAAAAAGAATTTGATTCAGAATTTATTTAATTAGAATACTGATTAAAAATGAACAAATTATAATTTTCTGGTTGAATCTATTATAATTTTAGTTAACATAATCAGACTCTTGATATGATCAGAATCTTTCTCTTCTGGTTCGTTCATTTTCAATCAGAAATTTTTCTCAGTGTATATTTGTTATTATACTTTACTGTCATAAAGACAAGGTCTATAAATTCAAGTGTCCAAACATCGCAGACTTACTGTATATATTTCCTTTTCGAAGGAGTTTCGTAAGTAACGGAGTAAAACGTAACAGATAAAGTAATTATACGACGACACGGATATATATATATATATATATATA